GTAATCATACAATGATGAAAGCTGAGTGTCTGGGCCTGACTTTGCTTTTCTTTGCACCCTTGTGTAACTGATGTGAGTATAAACAATGTATGAAATAACATATCTAAGAATCAGACTCCCTTTTCATCAACTTGGAGCTGACTGCAAGCAAAACACATGCTCTGGTTTAGTACCAGAGCATTGAGAAAGTTCAAAATATCTGTTCAAGGCATTCATGTTAGGCACATGCATGGTTACCTGCACATGCATCACTTCAGGGCATAAGAGCGCCAAACTTGCTAGTCTCAATCAGCAGTTAGGAAAAAAAAAAAGGAGCTTGGAATGTTGTTGATCCTAGGAAGCTAAAATACACCAGCTGTACCATGCAACTTCCTCCTGGCACAGGCATTCTCCCTCAACTGTAAGCATATGGGTAGCACCTTCCCTTAGATTTACCTGCTCACTCTTCTTTATGTGAAGTCCAGAGCTAAGGGAAAAAAGGATGGCAGAAAGAGATGGAGACTAAATGGATGAATATTTTCAAACATGCATGATGCATCTTGTAATGCATTCAGCCCTGAAACTTTAGCTTTCCACTAGCCTCCTGCAACACATGCATTTAGCATTCCAAGATGTACACAAGCCACTTCCCCAGAGACATCCCTGATATTGTCACCTGACTGTTGTCTCCTGCCTCGTCTCTGCAGGAGGGCGTTCCCTCCACAACCACAGTAACAGCGCCTGAAGATATCAGGATAGGTCACCTTCAAAGGCTGTCCAATTCAACCTTGAAATGAAGGATAGTGGGAAAAATCTACTGATGCAACTTGGTTGAAGCCTGGAAATGAATGAATGGCCAAGAACAGTAGCTTCCTAAATCACTGAATTTAAATCCATCTGTAGAATTTTACCTCTGTCTTATAAGCTTTTTTAAAATTAATAAATAAAAACTCTTGTCCTGGCTAAGGCAAATTTTAAAATTTGTGGGACTATAAAGTTGTTTACACTTGCACTGTCATAAAAATAGACAAGACACCCTTCTTCTTCTTCTTCTTCTGTCCACTGCTAATAACGCTCATTCCAAACAAAGGCATCAAGCAAGAGGAAGAGTTAGCCAATAACAAATTTGGGATTTGGATCTTGAAGAAAAATAGCATACTCATGGTATTAATTTCAAATAAACACCATCATTAGTGGCCTGATTTTGAATCACTGTACATCAACCAGAGAAGCTATCACACTCTAATGGATGACCTAGAAGATGTCAAGGGCCAAAACACAGATAAGCTTCAGCTCTTTCTTTAATACCATACTTTAGAAATCAATTTCAGAAATTAGGAAAGAGCTGGACAAAAGCAACAAAGTAGAACAAAGCAGGGAATGCAATTACTAAAACCATGCTTCTTTTGGTTTGTTTTAATCATATGGTAGTTATCACATAATTTAACCTCTTAGTTCAATGTAAAGCAGCAAAACTCAATTACAGTTTACTGGATTTTTTTAAACTGCATTTGAGAAAACAAAATAATAAAAGGAAAACACAAGCCCCAGCCTCAATTTTGCCATTCATCCCTTGCTGCTGAAGAACAACTCAAGTTTCATACATCTTCCTGAAGTATAAACCAGAGATGTACTGTAGAAATTCCAAGATAACTACACAGTCCTAGCAGGTTTTGGTAACACAAAGTGACACATTTTAGTACATATTCATAAGGGTTGGGGGTTATTATTGGTCTGTAATTGCAGTTGTTCTAACACGTAATAAGCCATGGCTGGAAAAACAAAGGCAGGTTAATTTGTGATTTCCTCTACTCATTCAGAGGCAAATTAAGTGTCAAACAGCTAATACAGAACATATTTCATTTTATGAGATTTTAATTTAATTCTGCGCCATATCGTTGATGCCTTAATGTAGGGTGGTTTATCTAAGAGGAAGAGCAATTTATAAACCTCTTTCAATTGAAATCTTTAATGATAGGATACGATAGCATAATTACAGCAATGCCTGCTAGTCCTACTATACATAAGCATCTGTCAGCAATTCCATCATAAACATAAACCCTTATTTTAAGGTTTTATAACTCAAATTATAAAATTTGGCTCCAGGCTGAAATTTGGGATGCAACAGTTCTGACCATCAGCAATCGAACTATAAGAATCACACACACACACACATATATATATATATATATATATATATATATATATATATATATATATATATACACACATGCATATACCTTTTTAGACCTGCAAGTATGAAAGAGCCTTGTAACATCTTTAAAATTCCTGCTTTCTTTTTTCTTTTTCACTTGGCCAGTGTTCAAAATTATGTGCAGACACTGTAGGTACCATGTAGACAAGGCCTTCATCACATATTTTCGGCACTGGTATTATACCTAAACTAATTCCACTAAGGCTTGACAGGTTCTGGAAGATATTTCAAGGAGCTTGGATAAATAAAATCATGCCTCTTTTAAAATTTTATTTTTAATTTATATTACATACACACATTTGAGAGTACTAAAAAGCTGAGGAGAAAACCATTTGTACAATGAAATCATTGTTGAAGCTGTAGGTAAACATTTGTTTCCTGACTCTGGTTTCTTGCCATTTTCTCTTAGAATTTTCAAATATCTTCTTCTTTTTTTTTTCCTTTTCTTTTTTTTTTTAGATGGGTATTGGGACAGCAGTTCAAGTAATGGCTCCAAATGATCCCAGGTGATCCTAAGTGCTATTAACACCCACCTCTGTAAGACTTGCAAGAAAAGCACTGGGTGCCTACCTCACATGTATATACGTAAATATATTTTCCTGAAAACTGCAAAAGCATGACAAACCATAACATCTACAAAGACGCTGAAGTCTAAATGCACTTTTTTTTTTAAGTTTCTTAATTGCCTATTTATATTTAATTACACCAACCACAACAGCTGCAAGGGTCCACTACAGCTCATCATTCCAATGGTGACATAAACCAAACGAGCAAAAGAATCAACAGAAGTTAATGGGGAAAAATGGCCAATATAAAGGCAATTTTGAGTTTAAACCTTGGGCTGATATCAGAGTATATTTCTAAAGCAGCTGCCTGCAGTCATTGCATCTGGCTAAGACTTCCTTGCCTCTGCAGGACCCAGCTGAATTGCTACTTAATCAGGGAGCAGAGGTGCACAGCACACAGTAGGGCACCTTTCCATGGAAAAGGCATGATTCTGGGGCCAGACGGGACTACCTCTGAATGCCAAACAAGGTATGAAAGAAGCACTTCCAACATCTTTTGGGACTCTTACAGAAGTCTCGGCACTGAGAGCCATGTAGACTGCTAGTCCTAATTTCCCACTGTCGCCCAAAGCAGGTAACAGTGGCCTACCCACCCAAAAGCCCTGCTGCAGGCTTGGGGTGCCATGCTGTGGACCGGGTTCATGGGACTGAGGCTCCACGGAGGGCTCAGCTCAGCAAATGCAGTCAGGTAGGGACCCACATGGCACAGACTTCCAGAAGCCCCTTCCAAGCTGGTAGGCAGTACTTGTGTCTTGGATGATGGTCCTCTGCTGATGCAGGTTAGAACTCAGGGAGTTCTAACAGAGGACCCCATCTGCCCAACACAAAGAAAAAGGCAAATTCCCCACTAGCTTTAGAATGAGCAGGATTATCTCCCCCAGCTCCCAAAAACATCCATCCATGTAGAATATTGACTGCAATGCCAAATCTAAGATGACCCTGTAATGACTGTCTGAGCCTGCCACCTTCAGCTTACAACAGTATTTAGCAGCAAATTTAAGCATGTATTTGAGTGTACTTTATTATGTGGTAGATTGTGGTGTAAATGGTGATGTATCTGAGGAACCCTGAGCAATAAATCACAAGTTTCTGTGTTCTCTCTTTCTATAAATACCCACTTTTCCTCTAATGCCCAAGAAGACTGCAACACAGATTTATTACTTACCTCCAGGCAAATTTGCTCTGAAATTACAATTCAGTAATAGAAGACTGACCCAAAAAAACCTGTTAGTAAAATATTGTGTGTGTACTTGGGCATGTAGTTAGGATTGTTAATATCAATTAATTCTGCTCACAGAGGAGGACTTGTTTTAAAACAACTTCATTTTTCTTCTCCATATATGTAATTACACAGCTGTAACTAATAGCCATAGAAAAGCAATCTGCCATCTAAACAACTAGCATTATTCTTCAAAGTATTACTTCTGCTTTTCTTCTTGTATTTTCTCAGTGTGAGAGGTGATTAGTAGATATGATTAAATGTATACATCAAGCCTTTTAGTGAAGTATCAAGCCCTGCTTTTTGGCTCCATTTTAAATGGTATTTAGCAGGTTTCTGGACACATCTACTGGTTTATTCTGCAATGCTGATACCCGTCTCCCCATATGGAATAAGATAAAATTTATTTCAACAGGATTTCACCACTACCACCCTTTTCTAATGCACGTTATCACTGGTATTCATTTCTTTTATCTTTGTGTAAACCATGTGCTCTATCACATTTGCCATTTTGTTTGGGTGACATTCCCATCAATCAACTGATTGCCTATATGTGCACACAACAGGGACTAAGTAAATTTACCAAAAATTTCATTATGCTTCATAGCAGTCACTAGGGAAAAAAACAACCTAATGGTTGTTTTGTAAACAAACCTTTGGCATGAAAGGAAATTTTAGCTATGAAGAATACCAAGCCTAATACAGATTAAATACGTGCTTATCTGCCTGTATTTCACAGGACTCAGCACTTTTTAATTTAGCCTTTATAGAATGACATAATACAGAATAGATGTCAGCAAAAGACATAGGTAACCTTTGCCAGCTACCTATTATAACCAGAATTCCTCAAGCACCAGTATGGGTTTTGCTTTAGAACAGATAACCTCAAAGCTTTTCAAAAGTAAATCTCGCACTCTGGCAAGACTGAAAAAGTGCTTCAGGTACATGGTTTCCAGCATTGCAAAGGTTCATGTATTTGTCCATTTCTTTCAGGAAGCAAGGGGGAACACTGAATACTCACACATGTAGAGGAGGAATGGGAGATGGTTCGTAATGGTAGCGTCCCTCATGATGTCTTGCATCAATTGGTACAGGAGGGTGGAATGCCGGAAAAAGGTGAGGAGGATCTGAAAAAACAAGCGAGGTTCCCAGATCTGAGTATCTCCAATGATTCGTTAAAAACAACATTCATAAAGACAGAACAGATATTGAAAAGCATGTGTTAAGAGTGCTGTGACTTAGGGGTCACAATCTCCTTCCATGGTGCTATCAGTCAGGTCTGTCTGAGAGGAGAATTTGGCCCACAGTGTTTGCATGAATATGTATTTACTAATTTTAATATTCTCTTTTTATAGCTTAAATGGAAAGGGGCATTAAAAAAGTCTTTAATAAATAATTATGTGCCTATATGCGAAGCACCAGATCAAAAGGACCATCACGGCTCTCATAAGCATTCCTGATTTATTTATTTTGTATTAAAACAAGAAAAAAAAAATCATCCCAGGAAAAAAAGCCTAAGCAGAGAATACAATGCAATAAAAAAGTATATCCTCAGAGATGTACACACAGTCCTACAACAGAAAGCCAAACTGAAGTGACATGCTGAGAAATGTAAGTAAAACTGGAGTAAATCAGACAACGATGTTCGAAGGCAAATGTGACTGGGAAAGGCCATATTGGAGATGTTTAACTGCACCACACCACTGCCTGAACCTGGAGGAATGTGTGTGAAGACAGAAGGACTCATTTCATACCCAGCTCTTAAAAAGTGAGGGTGCTTTCTTTGTCCCCATGACTGGAGACCCAGGGATTCACGGCTGCAGCAAGCTCCCCTGCTCTATGTTCTCCATGGCTTTCACAGGATGGGAGATTTTGCAGCTGTCAGAACTCCCGTTCCTTGCTGTTTCCGGAGAGCCTCGGAGATAGGCTGATGAAAAGGCAAATGAGCCCCTGACACCCCCATGGGCTGTGCCCTGAGGAGTCAGGCACCAGCCCGCCCTCCCCATGGCTTCTGCAGCTGGATTGTCCCCCAGGTTTGAGGGGCACAGTTCTCACAGAGCACAGCTCTCCTCACCACGCACCACTGTGATCTGTGTGCCTCAAAATGTTACACGCTGCTCACCACTGCCTCTCAAACAGTCACAATTCCAACGAAATGTTAAGCACCTCCAGCGGCATGAAACAAACTGATCCTGCACAATCATTACTCAATTGCCACTTTGGGTGATGTCATGTGTTTATCTGTCACCAAGGCTGAGAAGTACAGACATTAGGTCATGTCATGGATTTACTAAAATGCTTCTAGAAAAAAAGGAAACTTCAAATGTGTACTGGTAGTAAAAGTAATTCTACTCCAGTTTTGCCCACCAGCTCTTGAAAGGATCTTTTCTTTGTATTTCCTGCCTTTCCTATTCATCAAAATGTAAACCTCCTCTTAGATTATATTATTTGTGAAAGCAGTTCCCTGGCCTCAACTAGAGATGGTTAAAAAAAAAATAATCATGTTTTAAAAGGTTGGGTTGCTTTATTATTGCATTTTGAAGTGCGGGAAGAATGAGAGGAACAAATCTCATTGCCCTGAGGGAATACACACAGGGGATGAAGGGGAAATAATTTCTGAGGAAATATTCCCAGTATTTCAAGAAAGCCTGGAAACATCTGACACAGACCATCCAATTGCACAGCTTGATTTTGTGAAAGGACACCAGCATGTGACTAGCCACAGCACATTTTAGCCATTAACTGACTTAGGCATCATAAATGAAAAATAATTGTGGCTTATGATGTAAGCTGGGAGCTCAAACTCACAGTATTCTTAATTCTGGTTCTGCTGCATCAATTGGACCTTGGCATGCAATCCGTTATGGGCTTCACTCCGCATGCCAAACACTCATGGTCTTCAATGGAGGTAAAAAAATGGGTCACAGATGATCAGGAACACACTGTCATTGTCTGAGTAGAGGAAACTTATTTCCACCTCCTGAAACAAATTCCCCAGCAGACACCAAGGCAAAGGGGAAAAGGGACATGGGAAGTGTGTTTTAGCACATCTCCCTGCCTGCCCTGTTCCCTGCTAAACTGGTATTTGACTACAGCAGCATAAGCCAAAGGGAGGAGGTTTGAAAGCAGATGTCTAGCATTTTACAGTATAAAGTCTGCCACCATTTTTTTAGCAAAAAAGGAAGTCACTCACACCCTCATAAATGCACAGGCAAATCCTTCTCTGCCCTATGTGTCTACTTCACAGAGTCAGTCTAGAGAGCACAGGTAAGACCAAAGAGATTTTGCTACCCATATGCATGTCAGACAGGATGTGGTTCACCTGGCCAAAACATGCAATTCCACTCAGGATGCCAAGCCTCCTCACTGTCCCACCCTCACTCAGCCTGAGAGCCTATCCATTAAAAGCAGTTCTAGTAATTATGTAGTGAAACACCATTTGACCCTCCTCAATGTCTAATTTACTTTCCACTGAGAAATGGAAACTTAGTATTAAACAACCCCAAAAAAAGGTATTTTTCTCTGTGGGGCTTATGCAGTGCAGATCATCAACAAGTTTTATTTATGCATGGGCTATAAATCTCCAAGAACATCTTTTTGAGTCCTCACACATTAAGCGCCCTTGTATATCTTGGTTGCATCTTGTTTGTAGTTTCCATCTGGGAAACAGCCATACTCCATCATGGCACAGGGAGCTGTCTCTGTCAGCCCTGAACCGTCCGGAGTAGAGCTGCATATCAAACCCCAACATAATTATCCATCTCACAGTTTATTATTTACAGATGAGCAATACAGCTGGTGAACATCGTAACTCAAGTGTATGTGTAATAAGTTACTACACTGTAGCCATCTCTTGTTGCAACCCTTAAGAAAAACCACATGATGACTTATCCAAAGTCAGGCTAAAACTGCTGAAGCAGAATAAAGTGCCACTAAACCTGGCTACCTCCTATTTATCATACAATTTCCTGACTGATGGTTCCACAAACCAGCTGCTAAGTGCTGTGTACTCTACTGTCAGCAGACTAACATGCTAAATGGGAGACAGGGAGAATAATGTACAGAACTACAGAACTGGTGGAGTCAATTTTACAGATGGAAATCAAATCCTGCACGTTGGGTCAGCCCTCAGCACTAAAGTAGCTGGTAAATTCTATGTGCTTGGGGGCCCAAGACCACTCCACTTCGAAAAGCATTGAATATTTATATGGAAAGACTCTTAGATCAGAGAGCTGCCAAAGCACCCATCGTCCAGGGCTTCACTTGGAATGGCATAAAATGTAATTGGTTGACATGTATTTATATGGAAATAGATAATAAGAAGTTTACAAAGCAATAACTGAGGCTGTACCCAGTTTCACATGGACTTTTCATATACAACCCAGTAACTATCACATTAAAGGCACCATCAGGATATTAATGGCACATTCTGCCAGAATTATTGATACTGTAGGTAGGTAAAAAACTGAGTGAGACTAGAATTGAATCTGAATCTATCTGACTCATGGTAATTTGTGCAAGATGCTTTACCTATCTAGAAAACCAGAGGAAAAGCTCAGTGTCAAAGGCAGGATAGCTGTTCTGGCTATGTTTTCACTAATTCTTTTAAACTGTGAGGAAAAGAACTCACCTTCAGCAAAGAGAAATTCCTCACCAAAACAAATTGACAAAAATCTAACTTCCTATTCTGCTATGGAAATTACTTATTACCTTTTTAAAAATTCTGGCTAAGATGCAAACTTGCACATAGTATGCCAGGCAGTTTTCTTACAAACATCCAAATGCAACTCTGAATTCCTGGGCCAATGACATCCTTGCAGAGCCTGATGCAAGTGTACAGTACATGGACAGATGCTGGCTGTGTATTTGCAGCCTTCAGCTCCAACTCACTAGAAGTACCTAATTCTGTGCATAAATTCTACTGTTTTCAAAAATTTCTAAGGACATGCCAAAGCACTGGAAATATATTTGAAGACATTGCTCACACATTGCTGAGTTTGGTAGCTATTGCTGCCTTCAGAATTCTCTGCTGCCTAGTACTGTAAGCTTCCTTCAGATGTTCTTCTGTGTGCTGCACAGCTAGCAGGGTTCTCCTTAAAACAAAATGGGAGACACAACTGCCTGTAATGCTACAAACTCATCAATTTTATCACTAAGAGGTTTTCTGGAAAATATGTCAATTTATGCTGACTTTCTGTTGTGTAAAACCTGCCTCTTTATTTCTCCTTCAAGAATCATTCTTACCTTCTGAAAGAAGTGAATAGGATCATCTCTCTCCAATTACAATCATTCCCATATAGGAAAAAAGAAGAGACCTACTCTTGTTCTCTGAAAGTCGACAACCTAAGTCTCTGCTGCAGCATCAAGAGAAAGAAACTGGGAGAAAGGACAGGCATGTATGATCCTTGATGCTGAACAGCAAACCTGAATTGAAGTCTGATGAGATGCAATTCACAGCAAGACTTGTTGGAAAGGGCTATGATGCCAGCTGGCTCAAAGGTGCTGTGCAAAACCCTGAGACAAAGGCAGAAGGGTTAGCTTGCTATGAAGCTTCCTGAAGTTCGTGGTAACTTTTCTGTACACTCCGTAGTCTCTCAAATGTGTCTTTCTTAGGGGATCACTACATTTGGAAAGGTCAGCTGTGATGGTGATACTAGTAAAACACTCTGCCCTCAGCTAGCTGACTTCCTGAAGCACCTTGTGATTCCTGCCAAACGCTTGAGGGAGATGGCTGCTGAAATGACAGCCTGCATTTTTCAGCACATCAAGAAAACTTTTGCTACCGTATGTGGTGAACCCTAATGTAATAACGGTACAAGATGCCTGCACTTGCTTGAACTCACCCAGTGTGGCCCTGATGTCCACACCTGTGTCACGAGGTCTGGGCCAAGAAAACAGAGGTCCCGAGCCCAACACAGGAAGCCCTCATTATGCTTCAACACATTTGTCCTTAGGACAATCAGCTCACCAAATTACATGTCAGAACTCAGCCAGGTGCAAACTTCTATCTCAGATATAACCTCACTTAAGGTGAAATCTCCTTCCTGTTGAAATCCATTACAGTCTTGATGCTGAACAACAGTACCAAGCTTTCACACCAGATGTAACAGATACAGTATGATGCAAA